CATTACAATGGCCGAGAACACTGCAGTGTAAGTTTTTGCTAGTCTTCAGTGCACCCTGTTGGTGGAAGCAACCATTTCGTCATGTCACTGCCCCGCCAAAGATTTCCCCTCACCTCCGCCTCCCGCGCAATCTTCGCTTCTACGCGTGCACAGGTTCAGGGTCCTGTTCATCGTCCTGTTCCTGGGATGAGTCAGAGCTTTGGGAGCTTCAACTTTTGGAATTCGAGAAGTAATGTTAAAGAATCATTCGCTGACTCCAGGGCGCGATTGGCTGCCATTACTGGCGGTCTTGCGCAATCACAATGCAGTGGCGGTTAGTTTTCTGAAATCTCCCGATCGAGCACGTCGCGCAACAATGCGACGCAGCTTACGCAGCCGTCGCGAAGTTAACGCGGGGATATTCTCCGCCTTCTGGAACAATTACTGACAATTGGTTTACAGACTTCGGTCTTATCGGTTTGGCCGTCATGGGTCAGGTACGTACCATAACTCCAGCGAGTTCATGGTTTAGATGGCTCATAGAAACGTAGAACTTGATCCTTAACGCTGCCGACCACGGATTCACCGTTGTTGCTTTCAACCGTACCGTATCCAAGGTCGATGCTTTCTTGGAGAACGAGGCCAAGGGTATGCTGAGTGTTGACTCATCACGGAGATAGCTACTGACCGCCACCAGGAAAGTCCATCGTTGGAGCTAAGTCCCTCGAGGACCTTTGCGCCAAGTTGAAGCGCCCCCGCCGTATCATGCTCCTCGTCAAGGCCGGTCAGGCCGTCGACGACTTCATCGCCGCTCTCCTTCCCTTCCTCGAGAAGGGTGACATCATCATCGACGGTGGTAACTCCCACTTCCCCGACTCCAACCGCCGCACCCGTGAGCTCGCCGCCAAGGGAATCTGCTTCGTCGGTGCCGGTGTTTCCGGAGGAGAGGAGGGAGCCCGTTACGGACCTTCCATCATGCCCGGAGGAAACGAGGAGGCCTGGCCCCACATCAAGGACATCTTCCAGAGCATCTCTGCTAAGTCCGACGGTGAGGCCTGCTGTGACTGGGTCGGAGACGAGGGTGCCGGACACTTCGTCAAGATGGTCCACAACGGTATTGAGTACGGTGACATGCAGTTGATCTGCGAGGCCTACGACATCATGAAGCGCGGATACGGAATGACCCACTCCGAGATCGGTGATGTTTTCACCAAGTGGAACAACGGTGTCCTCGACTCTTTCTTGATCGAGATCACCCGCGACATCATGAAGTACAACGACCCCGATGACAACACTCCCCTCGTTGAGAAGATCCTCGACTCTGCTGGACAGAAGGGAACCGGAAAGTGGACTGCCATCAACGCCCTCGACTTGGGTATGCCCGTTACTTTGATCGGAGAGGCTGTCTTCGCCCGTTGCTTGTCCTCCATCAAGGCTGAGCGTACCCGTGCCTCTGGAATCTTGGAGGGACCTGCCATCCCCGCTTTCTCTGGTGACAAGGAGGCTGCCATTGCCGACCTTGAGCAGGTTAGTACACTCCAATGACGATTTCGGGGATATATGGTGGAACAATTTTCCGATTTTCCGCAAATCCCTCAATCATGAATTAGGCTAATATGTCATCTGCAGGCTCTCTACGCATCCAAGATCATCTCTTACGCCCAGGGATTCATGCTTCTCCGCGAGGTAAGCCGCTACTGCCCCACTTATTATCCGCCATACCCCACTTTACACCCCCACGCTCCGTATCAGTCACTATGGTCCGCATTCTAACTCTTCGATTATCAATAGGCCGCCAAGGAGTACAACTGGAAGTTGAACATGCCCGCCATTGCCCTCATGTGGCGTGGAGGATGTATCATCCGCTCCGTCTTCCTCGGAGACATCACCAAGGCTTTCCGTGCTGAGCCCGACCTTGAGAACCTTCTCTTCAACGACTTCTTCAAGAACGCTATCCACAACGCTCAGGCCGGATGGAGACGCGCCATCTGCAAGGGTGTTGAGTTCGGTATCCCCACCCCGGCTTTCTCCACCGCTCTCTCCTTCTACGACGGATACCGCACCAAGGACCTCCCCGCAAACCTTCTCCAGGCCCAGCGTGACTACTTCGGTGCCCACACTTTCCGTGTTAAGCCCGAGTACGCCTCTGCTTCCCTCCCCGAGGGCAAGGACATCCACATCAACTGGACCGGACGTGGAGGAAACGTCTCTGCTTCCACTTACCTCGCATAAGTTAGTTAATTTGGGTTTTGTTTTTGTTCGGTTAATTGGGTTTCTTTGCGTTTTCTTTATGGTTCAAACTAGTCCCTGATTATGGCGGTATTTGTTATTCTGGATTTATGAGTATGATGATGCGATGAGGACATGGTAGAGACAAAAATGTGGACTATTCATCAATCGACAGAATGCTAAAAAGCTGTGTTTATTCTTGATATCGTGAAGTGCATTTCGTGGGCTAGGGTTAGTGACATTGGTGATTGGGCTGTAGCCGAAGATTCCAAGTGCAGAATCCAGCTGTCCATGTTTCGCGTGTTCTGACAAGACGTCAGCCTTCGGCGTTGTTTTGTTTGGCGGCCCTGTTTCCCGCCTGTCGGGCCCACTCCATCCTTGCCGGCGGACTATGGTGGAGACGAAGCTTTACCTCCCGCATCGCTGTCTTTTTTCGAACTGGAACGATGTTCCGAAGAAATTCTACGGTGATAATCGCTGAATCCCCAGGGCAGTCTACTCTACAGTCTTTGTGGGACTGTGAAACCACTCGGATCCAGGAACGTGTCTGAAGCCACACGACGTTTCACAGGTGAGAACCAATGGAAAAGTTATCTCCCGTAGAAATCCAGGAAAATACAAAGAAATTGTAACCAGATGAGATTCGATCCGTTCGCCGCATCTTTTAATCCTCGAAGTAAAATCGTGCGACCTCGATTCGCAATCTTTGTTTTAACGCTGCGAAGTCCGAGAAGAACGTTTGCCACCACATGGCGACACGAAGCAAAGTACAGAAAAACGTAGAATAATTACGTGGAAACAAAAAAGTCCTCTCTTGACTTCGCTTTTGGTCAGAGGAAGGATTATTTCGAGTTCACGAAAAGCGTTGCACCAAGAGGCAGCATTTCGCCCGCGATTTTTCCGAAGTGGGGTAAATTGAGTTTCAAGGGCGAAAGTGGGTTTTGTGTGTCGCTGCGCTAAGCCACAGTATGGCGGTGCAACCCACAAACCCTAACAATTTAGCAGTCCTAAGCGAATCCCACAAACCCCACCGTCGCCACGCCCCAAACGGCTCTGGGTTGGGCAAATTCCACGATTACGACTATCGACCAACACCGACGCGCGCCCCAACGAATACCCTCGTCCCCCCTTCCCGTAACGACAACCCGACGAGAAGCAACAATGGCCACCGAACTTACCGTCCAGTCGGAGCGTGCTTTCCAGAAGCAGCCCCACATCTTCACCGCCCAGAAGACCCGTTCTGCTAAGCGCAGAGTCGGAAAGGGAGGACGCAGATGGTACAAGGATGTTGGATTGGGTTTCAAGACCCCCAAGACCGCCATTGAGGGATCCTACATCGGTTTGTCTCTCGAAGTTCTGCTATTTTTTGGCAAGGAAGGAGGAGATGGAAGAGCCGCAAGAGGAGGAAATAGAGAGCTTGGAACTTGAAACGAGAGCTACCCGAAGATCGAAAATCGCAATCCATCGAAATGTGAAATCGGGGGAGCTCTGGTTTTGGTTACTTGGTGAAAGATGGATTGAAGAAAGCTGGGGAAATCGACACAGGAAGCTCAGGGCTCAGGAAATCAGAAACATTGGCACGGAACGTTTCGCTAATTTGATATCCGCTGGACAGACAAGAAGTGCCCCTTCACTGGACTCGTTTCCATCCGTGGACGTATCTTGACCGGAAAGGTCGTCTCTACCAAGATGCACCGTACCCTCGTCATCCGTCGTGACTACCTCCACTACATCCCCAAGTACAACAGATACGAGAAGCGCCACAAGAACATCTCCGCTCACGTTTCTCCTGCTTTCCGTGTTGAGGAGGGTGACACCGTCACCGTTGGACAGTGCCGTCCTTTGTCCAAGACTGTACGTCTCTACAAATATCTTTATCTACCAAATCTCGAAACTAATGACTTGTGCAGGTCCGCTTCAACGTCCTCCGTGTTCTTCCCCGCACCGGAAAGGCTGTCAAGTCTTTCGCTAAGTTCTAAATTGTTGATTTTTAACTGGGTTTGGGATGGGGTTCAGGATTTGGAGAGAATAAAATAAAACGGGCTTTGCTTTTCTCCGGTGTTTTTGTTGTCTTTTTCAGCATGAAATTTATGCTCTCCAAATCTCTGTTCCACGTATATCATGTGAAGTAATAGAAGTTTGGAAAAGCAACAGTTCTTCGCACAGGAGCTCTCTCTGGTGGATATACAAGTTCTTGGGTTTCTTTTGGGTGAAAATACTACATCTTGCGGTGGAGTTATGGGCGTACTGCGCAGCTGTTGGATTGAATATGATAAACATCGAAGCTGTTTCTCTAAAAATAAACCATGAAAACATCATCACCGAGACGCTCATCGAAATCACAGCCCTACAACGTCACTACCGTCGATCATCCGTAACCTTTCACCTCCCGCTTTCTACACAGCTGTCGAAATAGGACCCTCGAAATAAGCAAAGTTAACGTAAAAATTGTCGATTCAAAGAGCTTCGATAAACAGCTCAGCTCACCTTCCCGAAACCACGTTCTCGCAAGTCCTATGAACCGACCGTCGATCACTGTGATGTAGAGCACACTCCTCGAACTTTAGCATTTCAAGCTTTGCTAAAACAAAACGAAACAAGTGTTTCCGAAAGACCGGCCCAAAAAGGTTCTCCGGCAACCATCTTTAACTTAGCTCTTTAGCTCATCTGTAAAAGGAGTTGCCTTAGGCCTTCGTAAAATCAAGCTTTAAAGTTCTCGCGTGTCAAGTAACCTCTGGCGTATCTAGAATAGGGCTTCGGTGTAGGGCAAAAAAAATAAACAGGCAAAAAATTGATCGTAGCAGGGATTGAACCTGCGGCCTTTTCCGTTCAGCTATTGTAAAGGAAACGTGATAACCACTACACCATACGACCTTGTGATGATAGTGGATTAACTATAAAGATAATAATCAATTAAAAAAAAACTAATTCACATTAACATCCCGCCCTATGTTTGGGTAAAACTGGCAGATATAGTAGAACGTTAGTCCTTGGTTATAGACTGATATTGCACATATCGATAACTGGTATTAGCCTAAAGGAACAGCTTATCTGAAAACCGGGGATTCTGTTAAGGGATGCTCTCTTCGAAATTACAGGTTTCTATACGGACTTGAAGGAAGAGATTTTATTCTTCGCCATCTGCTTAACATCTATGCTAATATTCTTTATACCAAATCCCATCTAAATATGATGACCTAGTTGGGCTGGGACTGGGGGGAGGAGGGTTTGGCGTTTTTGTCATCACGTGGTCCCCACTTTCGGCTTGGACATCAATCACACGGTACACCGGCCTCAAGAAGCATGAAGCATACAGCATTCTTTTAGGAGTATCTATGTACTCTAGAAGCACGATCCGTTTTCGTTTCAACCTGGTAGTTCGCCATAAGGCTCCAGGACATCTAAGCCTACTATCTCTCAGGCTCCCTATGCTATTTATATACTTCAGCCTACCATCGATTTGTCGAATAATTGATCACTGTCGTCTCTCCCACCTAGCTAGCTCGACCTTGGCCCTGGACCCTTGGATTCCATATGGACTGTCTAGGTCCCTTCAACCCTGGGTATCTACTATACGTCATAGGTGAGGCTATGTAAAACTCTCGTCATGTCAAAGTCTGTATACAATGCCGAGCCCTGGAGATCCCGGGAAGGCCCTACCAGCTACCGAAGGCTGGCGGCATGCAAAGTGGAAACCCATATTGAAGCTTTTCAAGGAGGAGAGGGCAGAAGAAGCGGTATTGGAGTTCATTAGGCGGACCGGAGTGGGAAAAATGAGTGGCGCGAGAGAGCCCAGAGCAGAAGACGAGATTAGCGTAGCGGAGAGTGAGGGTTGACCACCCTGGAATAACTATCATACTTTATTTGTTGTTTGTTATTGTTAATTTCACATATACGGCGGAGAAAGGGGAAGTAGGGCGCCACATGTGATGCCCTAAGGGGCAGTGGACAGGATATGGGTCGGCGAGGGAGGCGGTTTCATACTCAGAAATGAGTGATAGTCGCAGAATAAAATTTGATTCAAAACAAAACCTCTGTACCTCCACCTCTCCATCTCCCGACCGCCTGATTCCTCGCGTGGTTTAAACAAGAGTATTGCAATTGATCGATTTGGAAGCTACTAACTTATTTAAAAGTATAATTAGGTAAGAAAGCAATGCACTTGGCAATTTTTATATGCCGTTTCGAAAGTACTGAAGCGCTACAGTACTTTTACAACCGGAAGATTCGATGTAGCATAAGCATAGTTGCACCTCCAGTCTCGCTAGCATTTTCTGAAACCGACAGAACGTGTCTAAGCCTCATTGAATCTACGGTTTGCGTGCGGGGCTACGAATATGAATTGACGTATTTGTCGATCAGCAATCGTAGAGAAACGTGCTACAATGTATGCAGAAGCTATGCGCTATTGCTTATATGGATTGGAAGGACACACAGAAGAATCGATAAGCATGGTTGTTGGATGAAAGGCGTGATCAAGGACGTCGTTATCAAATTACAGCGTCAGTTGGAAGAAGGTGTTGAGGAAGACGATGAGGTGGATACTATGTATATTTCTTTGTAGGATGGTTTCTCGCAGTTTCAGACCTAGTTTTTTTTCGGGTTTCACTAGCTAGCGAATACACGTGTTATGTATGGGTGGGCCAGTACCCCGTTCACTCGATCCTATGGAAATTAAGTGAATTGACGTTGACTTCGTTCCCCCACTGCACATCCCAAGGCCCTTTTGGCTGTCTAGGCAGCAGAAGCGGCCTTGTTGCAGACCCAGTGGGTATCTCCACTTCCATCTCTACTCCCATCTCGCGCCGATCCAAGGTGTCTTCGTCTAAATCATCATCCTCATCCGCCTCCTGCTGAGCCTGCGAAGTAGTAGGACGCTGCATAATAGTCGCTATCTGATCTAGTGCTCTCTGGTCAATAAGGTGAGCTGCACAAGGCCGGTCGTCGAGACTGTCCGGGGTGTTATTATACTCGGTCACGACACTCATGACCGGCTTACGGGTGATTGACTATGAGTGAGTACCGACTCTTTAAGCGGGGGCTTTTGACCGGAAGCTGAGACCGGGTGACGCGATTGTTGATTCTATCCCTGTTGCCCCTGCTGCTGTTTGCTGGTGGAAACTTGAGCAGTTGTAGACAGCCATCGCTTGGGCTGTCTTCCTAGGTGCTGGACTTGATGGAACCGTAGATGAACTACTGAGGACAGGGCACGCACCCTCGCATCTTTCTAGGATTACCGACAATGTCATCAGAGACTTAAAGACAGAACCTAAAAGATGCTGCAATGCCGTTTGCTGCAAGGCTAAAGCTGAGGTGAGAAAGTTCTAAGACAATCGGAATCGCTTGAATTCCTTTGCAAGCTCTTCCGCATATGGCGTCTCTGTTTCCTTACGTTCACGTTTTGACACTACAAGACACAAAAAGACATGACGAGACAATAGCCTAACCTTTCGTCAAGATTTCGATAGTTTTTGCAGTGACCAGTCTGGATTCTGGTTGGAATCTAGATGGTGGAGTGTGTTCCAGGTGGCTGTGGAATTCGAGTGGAAAGTCGCATTTTCGAGGACTTGCTGTCTGTCTGTCATAGTTGACTTAAGTCTTAACGACAGGAGGTGTTTTGTAGTCCATGGTTGGATAGAACAAGGACTCAGGAGGAAACAGATAGAGCTTGACAAGGTTGACAAGGTTGACATTCCCTATCTCGTTTGTTCGGCGGCCCGGGAAAGCCACCGGCCCCAAAGAGAGTGTGTTTGATGCAAACTTGAATTCAGTTAACAGTGTTTTGATCAGTGGGTGTGGAGAGGAACTTACGTTGGTGGTGGTCTTCCCCATTGGCATTTCCAGAGCGTTCGGCATGGCGTTGGAGCATGGGGTAGCGAGACGGGATTTGCTGAGCATCATCGTAGCGTCTTGGTGAGTAAGGAGGTTTTGTAGTGGTATCTGAGCTGTACTGTAGAAACGATAGATTCTATACCACCTGTTTTCACCATGAGACGTTAGCACCAGTCATTACTCGTGAGAGAGGGGGTGAGGGTATCTGAGTATAAAAGAGACAACGCTCACAGCTCTAAACAAGTCCTAATTAAGCCTTCTTCGAAACTACCACGGCCTCATAGCTCTGGCCAACATCGAGGGAGCCAGAGACGTAACCCGGGTCCTGAAACGGCGTCATACAAGGTGATATGTTTGAATTCCCATTTTAGAAATCAGGGGATACGGGACTTTATCCTGTCGCGCTGGAGCGAACGTTGATACAACTTTTTAGCGTTAGGGCGACGGGCGGCGGGGATGACTCGATTCGTAACATTCGTTGAAGTTGGCGGATCCCGGAAGCACTCAGGCTTCAGCATAGGAGTAGGGGAGGTCTTTCAACTAGAAAAAGTGCTCTAGGGGTGGCTTCAGCTTCGACTACCGGATCTTATGTTTAAGTGGATTAAAATACAGAAGGATAGAACCAAGGAAGCAGTCTGGAGCTCGCTCGCGAGTTCTTCCAATTGGTGATATTGATTCCCCGGTTAGATCTGGTGAGTCGTTACTAATGAAGCTGGTAGAGGTGCTGGTACGGGAGGAACAATATTGGGGTTACGGTGGCTGAGTCTGTGTTTTCCTTTTTCACATTCGATGTGGGGGGGAGAGGCTGGTTGAAACCAGTATTCATGAAATATCACGCGAATATTCTTGCGGCCGAATTATAGCCATGCTTTTTTTTTTTTTTTTTTTAACAAGTAAATTAAGCTGTCCTATGGACTTCTGCTATACATAAATCTAATATCCTGTTACCAGCGTGCTTTAGATCATCTAATGCGTCTAAGTTCTAATGTGATCCCCTGCCCCCGTCGCTCCCCTATTATAGCCATGCACTGGAGTTGCTATAGACCCGCAGACTGCGGATTACAGGTAAGTAGTTAACGGTGTAAATATTGATTAGATTAAATTCCGTTCATGACCCATACGTATTAGCGCTACACAGATTATCAAGACTGCAAAGTTCAAAGATGAGAAGATTTCGGGAATCGGGATACCCCTCCGGCGTGGCAGCCACCAGCTAGATTTTGTTTTTGTTTCAGTAGAAAAAGGAGGTAGAATACGTACTGATAAGCCACTAGTTCCAGTGTCATCTCCTAGCCATGCCATTGATTTAATTCGCAGCAAATTATTTCTCGGAACCAGGAACAAAAATGCGGGTGATGCCCCATGAAGCTGGATTCATCATTCTCCAGCAACTAGATACGATGGTGTAGTTGACTCTTGATCTTGAGTCAGTTTCCTCTTTATATATTCGACAGATGGTAGATGGTAGATACCGACCTTTAATCTTGCCAAAGGCCGCCAAGGGTTGACCGGCCATACATACAAGCCCGCGAGAGGCCGGAGTAGTTGTGTACATAAACACATCATAGATCGTCATGTCGGCCGGGGAACTGCATAAGTAGTGTCAGGTGTCAGATTCCACCCCCCAACCTGTTCTGCTTGTGACGTCTGGTAACCGCAGACTCATGGGATCCCCGGGTGTTTTTATTTTGGATGTTTGGGGGCCGGGGCACGTTGTTGAGTTTGATGGTGTTTATGTTTATGATTTCTCCCCTGACCAGACTAGTACAGGACCCAGTGGATTACTGAGTCGGAAGACAGTTCACAGTTGAATTGAAATCACCAATCGTCAATATTAGATAAAATTAGGGAAAACTGTTAGACTACTACAATCACAGGCCGTTATTCATGGGGTACCATACCACTTGTAGGATACTTGTGATCTCGTTTCTCCTTGTTAAATATTAGCATCATGACGAAAGCTGTAAAATGGGGGAAACTGTGCAGTTGACTCACAAGACAGTTTTCAAATTGCTCCAACACTCAAATTCTATTCATCGAAA